TACCACGACCGGGTAGCAGCTAACGGTCTGGATACCTCCTATGTTTTTTTTTGCGTGGTCTCTATGGATAAAAGGTGGCCAATATTCCACACTTTTATCCAGTCTTCAGTCAATTTTTCTACTACAGTAATGTATCGCATTAAAATCACAGAACTAATATTGGAGAACTCTTACAATCGTCATTGTAAAATTATTGCTTTCGTGTAAACACCTATAAAATGATTCTTAAATATATGAAACATGTATATTGCCTGAAAGTTCCTATGGATGATACTTCAAGTCAACTGATCGAGGAGTAGGCCCTAAAGACGTCCACTGTTTCGGTCCGGGCGTCCCAGCCCTTGCACTAAGAATAAAACAACTCACGACGAACTTTAATTGTGTGCTATTGCTTACGAACTACAACCATATTTCTAGTACGTGTTTCTTTTTGGCCTCCTCTTCATACATAAACTGTTGTGTTTTACTTTTGCTGTCCTTGGTGTCTTCACTTCCGTCAGCCTCTCGACCTTCTTTGAATTCTCAGCCCATATGTTCCGTTTTGACGTCATCATAGCTCAACGCTTTCAACCGTGAAATTTATCTTATATTTCGAAAGATCAGTAATGTGTTCTGATTTGTCTTTGTTTTCAGTGAAACAAGTGTTTGTGGTTGCAGGCTAGAAACCTGCGTACGTACGAGGCGTATCTCAGGTAAACGTTGGCATTGTTTCTTAACTGAATGGCTTCAAAACGTCGGTTGCGATAATTTGGCTACCGCTTTAAAATTATTGAAAGAACACTGTTATGAGTATAGTTTTGTTACATGGAGTTGGTTTCAGGGAATCATCTCGATAGTGACGTTAATCTCACCGCATACTGGCATCATTCTGTGAGATTGGTGTGTTTATCGGGACACACTATACGTCTAGAAGGACTGCTTATTAGAATTCTTTTCTTATTCTAAAACGCTTTCCGTATAGCATAGTGTTGTGAGCTACCACATCATAACTCCAAACCGTTGAGAAAGAGAGGGTGAAGTCTTTACCGAAGTCCGTTCATGTTTTAGCTGTGCCCACCCAAGGTTTGTTATTTTCTTGTGCAAGCTGTGCTACGCGGGGGTTTGCTATAATGGCGCTTTACACCCCTACACAGCTGGTGCATGTTTTATTATTCAGTGTGTTGCTTACTAGTATCCAACTCCAATCTGTACTCAATAATAAAATCACATCTTCACGTTTTATAATGTACTAAACTCTGTATACGACGAAACGCCAGAAAAGTTCCATGGAAAAACACAAGTGAGAACTTGAGTTAGTACAATGTTAGCAAAATCGTATTGTTAAAGAATGCACACTCCAACCAGTGCTGCTCAACCACGCAAAGTACATATAAAACAGTCAAAAATTAAGGTTCACTTATTCGTAGATAAAGTTAGTTTTCGTAAAATTACAAAATGGGTAGACGGGTTAGTTTCAGAATCGTTCACTTGGCGTTAACATAGAGGCACAACAAGTATGAAATCCCTGTAAACAGCGGCCTTGAAACTATGTTAAACGTCTGGCGAGGATTTACCTAACACACGATCAATAATTTTTCCATGTAGGTTATCCTGTGGAATTGCACTGATTATGTGTGTGTGAGAGAGCAAATTTTATTGTCGGATGACAGTTGTTAAATACTTTCGGCAATAAAATTTACTTTAGAAATGGAAAACAAATCCTAAATTTCATTTGGAACTAACAAGACAACCTGGTGGAACCTTAAGGTCAGTCTACAGAAAACCCAATTATAACGGTCAGCTAACAAGTTTCTACAGTTGGGTGCCTGTTGAACGAAAACATAATCTGATTAAATCTTTTATCATTTTGATCCGACACATCTGCAGTCCTGAAGCAGAATAACATCTTCCGCAAGGAACCTCCATCCAAAATGAATACGCACCAAGATTTATTGACAACAATATCAAATCAAAAGTCCAGAGGAACGAAATATTAATTGTTTCGAAAAAGAAACTCTACGTGAACCTGGATTTCATGGGAGACTTAGGCTGCAATATCCTTAAGAGTAGAATTTCAGCATCTTTGACAACATTCTTGTCAGCAACGCTTAGAGTAGTGTTCTCCAGTCGTCCATTGATCTGCGGAAGCCTTAAGGATAAGACCTCGTATCGTACCAATTTTATGTGCATTTACCAGTTCACCTGTTGCTGAGGAGCCAGGTATATTGGTCACTCTACGAGTAACCTGACTAAAAGTGTTCGAGAACACTAACCCGCATGGTTGTGGAAAGGTAGTAATGACTGCGTAAGGAGTGCGATATCCAAACAACTTGTCAACGCCTCCTTCAAAGCGAAGAACAACCTTCCAAAGGCAATATGTTTTTGTCTCCTTTGTTTTGCGGAAGCCTTAACTATTCATTTGGGGAAACTAGCGTTATGCACACAGAAGAGAATCATACAATCACTTTTATCATCATGGTAACAACCGTGTTGATTTCTACTGACCTGGTGTTTGTGTGCTTGTTTTCTAACTCCTTATCACTCTTCTATTTCTCTACGACTCTTACATAATTTCACACTTTCCTTCATTTCTATGTGCATCCTGATTACAACTCATCCGTTAGAATTATGCATCTTATTACGCAACTCTACTACACTTATTCAACTTCTTTTATGCACTGACTAATACTAACAAATATTTTTTAACAGCTTGTCACTTTTGTATGAAAAGGAGATTCCATACAGATGCGATTGTACAGCAATAGAAAATGAATTCACCGAAAAGAGCCGATTCGCTGAACAACGCAATTTTTCATTAGACATTGAAATCCTGTAAGTCAGGACAAACTTCAGTTGAGAACAAACTCATCAAGAATGAAAGCACACTGAAGATGAAGTCTGCCGAGTTTACCAAGAAATCCCTCCCTTAATTGGGTGACCACTAATAGGATAACTGTGTTTATCTTTCAGGTTCGCATAGCTCTGGATTCTTGTGAGCTGCAAACTAGTGAACATCCGATGAAACGGAAGTAAGGCGGATTTACCGGGAGCGTTATCGCTGTCGTTAGAAGTGCTCGCTTATTTTTATTGAAAAACATGAGTCATTATGAAACACATGAGGACAGTCATACATACAATAAACTAATTCTTATCAGTTAACAAATTTATAGGAATTCCTATCATTAAATTAAAGTGGCAATGTGTTATAAAAATCGTGCTAAATGAATACATATTTCATGGAATATACGAACAGGTTCCATATCGATCTGTATACTGATTGCTTCAAGAGAAATGATTCAGTATAACTACTTCTCAAACAAATGACAACTTTGAATACGAGTTCATATCCAGTCATAAAATGGACTCACACAAAAAACTTGGAGGGTCTGGACTTCGCCGATGATATATGTCTGATTCCCCACAAACTGGAAGATATGCAAGCAAAAAGCAACAAGTTGGCAGGATAAGCATCAAAGATAGGACTTCAGGTGAACATACATAAAACAGAGGTGATGAAAATTCCTGGACAACACCACCACCAGCAACAACAACAACAACAGACAACCATCAGCATAAATGGGAAGAACCTGAAAGAAGCAACCTCTTTTACCTACCTGGGAAGCATCGTTTCAACTACAGGCGGAACTGACGAGGATATCAAAGCAAGAATTGGAAAAGCAAGACAAGCTTTCACTACTCTCAAGTCTGTGTGGAGGTCAACAGCACTCAGCATGAAAAATAAGATCCGGATTTTCAACTCCAATGTGAAGTCAGTCAGTGCTACTACACGGATTAGAGACTTGGTGCGTCATAAAGAGCATCTCAAACAAACTGCAGACCTTCATTAACAGTTGTCTTCGCTCAATACTCAATATCAGATGGCCGGCCAGAAAAGATCAGCAACAGAGATCTCTGGGAGCGAACCAACCAGGAGATGATTGTGAAACAAATAGGCAGGAAGAAATGGAGGTGAATTCGCCATACTCTGAGGAAACCACAAAGTGACATCACTAGACAAGCCATTGCTCGAGTGGAACCCGAAAGGGAAGCGGCGAGTTGGTCGTCAGTGCAAGGGTGACTTGGAGGAGGTCATGTGAAGAGGAGATGAAAACGTGTGGGCAGACTTGGAGCCAGGTGAAGACTCTAGCAGAGAACCGAACGCAATGGAGACTTGTGGCTGAAGCTCTATGTTCCTCTAGGAATTAAAGGAAACAATAGTAATACTAATATAGGAGATAACATACGGATGATTCCATATTTCAATACAAATCTAAGTTAATGTATGAATAAATAAACACAAACACATGATAGTTAGTCAATTTTAAATCCTCGGAAGTTGATATTAGATAACAAGAGCTTAGAATGATGTCACTTATGTGACACAAAGCATATAGAACTAAAGCCGACTGCAACGTAATGCTATGTTTCGTACTGAGTGTTTTCGAGACACAACTTATTTCCGGAGGATAGCAGAGCTGAAAGAAGTACTCCAGACATCTAAAACTTGTTTTTATTCTTTTAACCTGTAGGTGCGGCGTGAAGGTGAGTTGTCCTGCTGCCAAGAACTGAGAAATATTTAGAGTCCCCGAAAACAAATAACAAAAGAAGTCACAGTTATAAAAACATACTACTTCTTGTAAAATAGCCAGCAGAACTCAACTTTGCCAGTTACAAATCATGATATCTCAATTTATGTCCAAGAAAATCATCTGGAAACTAGTACACACTTATTACATAATCAACTACAAACAGTGAAATGACTTTAAAAGAGTCTGCTTAAAGTAAAAGACTGCCTTATCTAAGAAAAAGACACTAAAATATCTAATCAGAGTGCAAAAACAGCTGATTCAATTCACACAAAAATGTAACACAGAATGAAGAATTTTATCGAATTTAAATGTCAACAGATGAATTAAATTTTTACGATGCAATAGCGTGGGTTATATAATCTAAAATGATCTGGGGAATTTCGGATTGTTATTTAGGAAGGTGGTTAACTCTGTTGGGTAATCCGTCATTACTCCTGAAGCACCAATTTCAAAAGCCTTTCGCATATCAGCCTCATTGTTGCAAACCCAGAAGAATACCTAGTGAATAAACAAAAATTGATCATGGGATATTACTCCATACCAAACAAATTACATAAATAAACAAGTGGTGTGACATTTTTGAAAATAATATGCAAAACAATAAAATATATTCTTATATGAAAAAACATGAGGAGGCTGCAGGAATTTTCTCTTTACGATGAAGTCATCAGTCAGCCTGTACACTTGTGAATATATAAGAAGTTGGTGATATTTCTAGTAGGAGGTCAAAATGTTTGGACAATAAAACGCAATTAAATAGTAGTGATTTATTTGATTAAAATAGACTGCTTATAATGGTCGTAAGCTAAATGAAAAGGTTGAATGTACTTCTTTTGGATAGACAAAATTTCAGATCACTAATGCTTCTTCTATGCACACAAATGCCTCGATCTCATTCTCATTGAGAGGTCCTATCAGGTCTTGAATATGACTGAAGAAATTCTGAAATGAAGCTGAGTATCCTGAGGGCAAAAGTTTTTTTGTTATCGACCTAGAAATGTATTTAATTTCTTCCTTTTTCTAACAAGGTGGGGGTGGGGTGGAGAATAGTTGTCATGGATACGAGTATATTCCATGGTTTAACAGATAATTTATAAGCATTATGCCATAGAAAATCATTCATTGCCTGAATGATACTATTCATCAAAAGAAACGTACAAAGAATTATAGAAATTACTCTACAGGGAAAGTATTCAGATGGTGAGAAGTTTTAACTTGATGGGGCCTGACATAACATATGGACGCAGAACATTGAACATGCCTGAAGCATTAGGAAGTTTTCAAACCGACAAAAAATGCTGAAGGATAATAGAAATGCATGTGTAATGAACAATGAAGTATTTGCGAGTAAACAGTTTAACTGGTGAAGAGTGAATACACCTAGAGTGGTTTTTTTGTAGTTATTTAATGTCGTATTTAAAAAATAAGGCAAATTTAAAAATAGAAAAAAATAAAAATTATGTTCGTCTTGAAAATTGGATTAGTACTGAGTTTCTGTCTGTCTGGGTTCAACATAGAACTTGGCACCGAAGTGTAGCAGTTCGAGTTGCCACGTTCCAAATAGCAAATAGTACTGAATTTAGACGAACGCCTTTTAGCAATCAAACAAAGTTTTACTCTTCTTCGGTGAACACTTAGAAATATGAATTTACTAAACCTAGAATACTCAAGTATTTGTTTGAGGGGATTTAACTGATTTCATGTAGACTGATCAAGAAATGACTTTGTCAGTGCGTACTGATGAAGAGTTCCGAAAAGGACAAAACAGCTGTTCAGTACTCTTTGGTTTATAATAGTTGTCTAACTGAATCAGTTCGTGATCAGTCTTGAAACCTAGAATAACTTTAATTAAAGTGATGAAGAAAAATAACAGTTATATGTTAGCGGTTACAGAATCAGTGTGCAGTCGGATTGGTATACAGACTTTTTTGAAAGTCGTGGGTGGCAGCGTATTCTAACACATGAGATAACTGTATCTGAGATTTTCAGTACAAGCTGCCTCTGCCTGAAAAATAATCAATTGAAGTCTTCATTTATTCAGCTATCATTATATCCTTGCGTCAAAAGATGTACTTAGGCAAACCTTTCTTATTGACTTTCACTCAAGCGTTATGCATTTCTCGAAGGATGCGAAGAAGAAATATCATAAAGGATTGGTTTTTGCTTTAGGTCATACAGCAATATGTCGCGCGATTTACTTTCCGTTACTGATTTACTTGGGGATCCTGGACGAAGAGAAATTATTGCGCAATAATTTCCACTGAAAATTCTGTACATGATATAAATACTGTTCAAGAATAAAGCTATTATTATTATAAGAATGTAGAATATAATGCAATGCCATCAAATTACAGATGGAATTGCATGATTTGTAGAAATGGTTACAGATAATATCCAGCAGGCTATACAAGGTTAGGCTGTATGGTTTGGGAAATAAGATAGAAAACTAACTATCTATGGGTTTAAACTAGAGAGGATTCTGAAAAAAATGATATGTTTACCAATGGAACACGCAGCTGTTATATATCCAAATAAATATATTCTGAGCCAATTGTACTGTGCTGCCACATAAATTCAAAATATGTAAGAGAAATATACACAGGCTATCTGCCTGCATTCAATTGGCTGCCTTTACAGCGTCGTACAATGGTAACAGAATTAAAATATAGGCAAAACAGATCATATATGCAGAGAATAAATACCACGTCAAGTATATTAGACCGTTGGTGAGCACATGATTCTATGCTCTTTACTCCTACTAATTTAACTGAGGTATAAAGACAGAATAATTCTCAGAATAAACAAAACAAGGCAGCACACTGACTAGCGTAATTTCTGGCCTGAGACTTGCAAATGCAACTACAAGTCTTCAGAATATAACGAACTAATGGTAGTACTCTAACAGCAGAAGGCAAGACACGGATGCAAACGTATATTTTCAATTGATCAAATCGCTGTTTATATCTATACTGTTTATATTCTCTAACCAATCACTGAGCGTGTGATTTTGATTTACATTAAACGACATGAGATAGAATGTTCAAATACATATATATATAGTATTCTGTTGCTAATGCAGTATTGAACTGTGGGAATATGTGAGAATAATGTTCCGTTGGAACACACTGTCTGTATCACACCATCACAATATGAGTTCCACATAAATCTCAAATTGAAATATGAAATTTATTAAACTTTTACATTTACTGTCAAATTCTACATGTATATTGACAATTTTAAAGGTTGAGTTAGATAAACTCATGGCTTACTCTATTGGTTGGTTGGCCTTAATTAACAAGGTTACATAATACAACTGCCTAAGCCTAGCATGCATATGTGCTTGGCGTATAAAAAAAATATCATATCACTTATTGACGAAACACTACCCTCTAAGGGTGTAACTATCTGTCATTTGGTTGGCCAATCGATTTACAACTATTGTAGTATTATATATATATATATATATATATATGAATTTCGCTGTGACAACTTATGGTTTCACGCTCAGGTATTATTAGGAAAAACTCACACGATAAGTGTCGATCAACAATTATGCATATGTGTATGTAAGCGTAAATGGATGTTTACAAATGTTTCGTTTATAACATAACCTAAGTTAGAGGATTTTCGTTTCTGCGTAATCTACCCAACACCTATCACTCGATGTTATCAACGCATTATTCCGTCTACTAATTGACGACAGTGCTTTAATTAGTTATTTAATTGAATAGCTTAAAAATCCCCATTGAGTCGTATGAAAAGCAGAAGACGTTCAGCAAAGAGACTCTTTTTGGCGAATTCATTCACATAGCTGTACAATCGCATTTATATATAATTATTTGTGTTGTGTGTGTACATGAGGTTTGTCAAGTTTAGATAATTAATCAGGTAGACCATTCTTGTATTACCTGATGAATTATCTAAACTTGACAAACCTCATGTACACACACACACACACACACACAAATAATTATATATAAGTGCGATTGTATTATTGATTATTACTATTGTTTCCTTTAATTCCTAGAGGAACATAGGGCTTCAGCCACAAGTCTCCATTGCGTTCGGTTCTCTGCTAGAGTCTTCACCTGGCTCCAAGTCTGCCCACACGTTTTCATCTCCTCTTCACATGACCTCCTCCAAGTCACCCTTGCACTGACGACCAACTCGCCGCTTCCCTTTCGGGTTCCACTCGAGCAATGGCTTGTCTAGTGATGTCACTTGATGGTTTCCTCAGAGTATGGCCAATCCATCTCCATTTCTTCCTGCCTATTTGTTTCACAATCGGTTCCTGGTTGGTTCGCTCCCAGAGATCTCTATTGCTGATCTTTTCTGGCCAGCCATCTGATCTTGAGTATTGAGCGAAGACAACTGTTAATGAAGGTCTGTAGTTTGTTTGAGATGCTCTTTATGACGCGCAGTGCAAGTCTCTGATCCGTATAGTGAGTAGCACTGACTTCACATTGGAGTTGAAAATCCGGATCTTATTTTCATTTTCATTCTTAGTGCTGAGTTGATCTCCACACAGACTTGAAAGTAATGAAAGCTTGCCTTTCTTTCCCAATCCAAGTGCGATTGTATAGCTATTTAATTAAATTACCATTAAAATGTAGAATGAACACCTAGAAATTTAGTATGGCTACAGGTTAACTCATTACCGTCTGAGTATCATTAAGAACAACTGAAATAAAAGTTCAGCTTATGCTTAGTGAATATCTTAGCACAACAATCTTATGATTACAAGTCTTAATTACGAAAAATACTTTTCAAACAGTCAATGTTATTCAGTCAAAATAAGTAGAAATTTACTTTAAAAACACAGAAAGTAGGTGATAACAATATGCTGAAAACAGTCGGAATAGTTAGAATGCAACTAATATGTTCACACAGAGCTATGACCTACTGAAATCAAACACACAAACAAACAAGAAAGATCAATAACGAACAGGACGTGCGAATTATAGACTGAGAAAAAAATAATAAAAAATACGGAAGTTCAACATAAAGAAATGGAATTCTACAAGGAATTTGAATGAGAAAATAAAGAACTGTTGTTTTTGAAAGTTTAGACTTGTCATATAGTGAAAAATACTGCTAATAAGATGTACTGAAACAACAACAGCCTTATCAGAAAATTCTCTCATTTTATCGCTGGTACATAGATGATATCATCATCCTTTGTGAAAATGATTGGGACAGGAACGCTATAATATCTCAAATTCACGTGTGAACAAGAATCCAAAAGTAAAATTGCCGCTTTAGATGTTCTACTGACAAGAAGACCAGATGGTAGCATAGATAGGAATTTGCATAGGAAAAGTATTTGATATTCAAGTATTGGTTTGTAGGGATTTGGTTGATTGGTTACAGGATTTCATCATGAGCTGACATTGGTTAGAGAACCATTGGAAGACATTGGCTAGCGATTGCGCTATATCGTGAATTGGCAAAAGTTAGAATTCATGGACCATTGGATCGGGTCCCAGTGGCTTAATATTCTACGAGCTCGCCTTGTAACCAGAAGGTCCTGAGTTCGAACCCCGGTGGGTGCGTGCTGATGAAGAGTCTCATACTAGAACGAAACAGCTTTCCAGTACTCCCAGGTTTTCCAACGGTTCTCTAACCAATGTCAGCTCATGTTGAAATCCTGTAACCAAAAGTATTTGAACCGGTCAATATACACATTTTAAAAATTTTCTTCCTTTTCGGTATAAAAGAAATTTCGTAAAGATTCTCAGCTATTGGGTCAGAGCTATTCGTTCAGAAGATGCTATTGTAAACGAACCTAACGTTACATAAGATACGTTAATTGAAAATAGCTACTCTGAAAAGTTCATCACTGAGGAACATGGTCAAGAGAGCAGAAAAGAATCCTTCTGCATCTGTTAACAAGAAGCCTCTAAATATACAACTAAACTTCATAAGTGATTTACCAAGTGGAATAATGGCCAACAAGTTAAGAAAATCGACTCAAAGGACGTTTAATGCCGGTAGGCTGCAGCTTATAGTTTCCACACAACCAGTTGTGATTCCGAAACTAAAAGATGACGCGACTAGGCTAGCCACCTCCGATTGTATCTATCAATTCAACTGCTCCTATGGAGCTAGTTACGTTGGCTGTTGTTGTAGGGACCTAATTTTTCGTGCTCATGACCACCTACTAGTGTGGTTAAATAAAGGTGTAATAAAAACCATTAGCAATTCAATATTAGATCACTTGGTCCAAACTGGCCATCCAAGAATATTTCTCTATTATCTACCGGGTACCAACTAAATTGCAGAAAGCATACAGGTACCGAATACTCCAAACAGTAGAGGCTATTGCAATTCTCTTAAAACAACCAGTACACTCTGTGTCTAAAAGAAACAAGTCCAGCATGCAATTGAACCTATAAATTCATAAATTCTGTATTAATTCCCTCACTTGATTTAATATTAAGTTTAGCGTTATACTAATGCATACTATCTTTTACTGATAGTATTGGTTCAATTTAATTTAAAACCTTAATGTTGTTAATAACAATATTCTTTTAATTATTTTTTTCCTTCACGTTTCCCAGTGGAAGTTTCTGTAGCAGTGTTCATTTTACAGGATGGGGTTGCTAGCTTCATGCCCAACCTTTCCTCTTTACCAGCATTATTTCTGGCTCAAGGAGGTAAAGGAGTGGGTCGGCCGGGGATCGAACCCCGAACCATGTGCATGGTCGGCGAGCGTCCTAACCGCTATACCACCGACCTTACAATGATTACTGTCATATAAATGTGGAACCTGATGACAAATTGATCGGGAAGAATACTCTCCATTCATTAGTCAGTCTCTAAAATTTTTAATGGGCATCCTTAATGAGTCCGGAGAACGTAAGTTTGATATGAGTAAGTATTGAGAAGGAAAAAAAAACAGCAGATCGGGCGTGAGGACAGATACTCGCCGAAGACAGTGGCTAGTGGTCGTGCTATGTCGTGAACTGGCAGAGGTTGGAATACATGGACTATTGGGTCGAGAACCAGTGGATTAATGGTCTACTAGCTCGCTTTGTAACCAGAAGGTCCTGGGTTCGAACCTCAGGAGTGAGTACTGACGAAGAGCCCAAAACTAGGACGAAACAGCTGTACAGTACTCCCTGCAGGTTTTCCAATGGTTCTCTAACCGATGTCAGCTCATAATGAAGTCCTGTAACCAATCAATCAAATCCCTATAAACCAATACTTGATCAAAAATTAGTCAAAACAAAATATATAACTATCATCATCTAAATAAATAAATTCAGACAACTATGAATCAGTCTTGGATTACTTACAATTATCTTTAATTAATCGATATTGATCTCATAATATTTCATCGACGAGACAAACTTAAAAAGATGAAGAAAGGCTGAAATTTCTTGTGCAGTGAATGCACTTTGTCATTATGCGCATAGGCAGGATTCAGCAAAGGGAGTGCTATAGTAATGAATACAAACTTCAATGGATAGGCTGAAGAATAGAGTACATTGTTAGAACTGTACATAAATGCCCTATAAAAGCAACGAATCATCTTTCTCACATTCACTGTTATTATCACAAGCATACATGAGAGAGTAGCTCAAATATATTTTAATAATTTTGAAAACATGTACCTATCCAGATGAGTATCAGTTTGTTGTAACTTATTGTCATTCTAGATACATTTTGTTACAAATAGACATCAACCACAGAACTAATAAAAGCCTATATACCGGTACAAAATCGAAATCGTAGTCGTGTCTACATATCAAAATGACCTGACAATCTATAGTATGAAGCTGTGGCTCATTAGTCCAGTGAGTCACGGGTTCCAAAACCACTCACTCCACGTACCGAGGTTTGGGCAGCCAGGGAGCCCACACGCAATAGGTGTAGCTCATTACCAACTGTATGGAATTGAGATTGGTTGTTATTAATTGACAACAACTTGCATATATTAGCTGGAATGCTTATTCTAATAGTAAGGTCTTTCAAACAGTAGAAATTCCACGAATTCCAATGCGTTTAACCTAGTAGATGATCGGTAATGGGCTCATTTCATGTGTTGAGGGGGACCGACTTAATTTCTAGAGACACTGTGTACCCACTGTTACGTAACAGCTCTTTCTTCCCAAATCATCTTTTCGTTGATGTTGATTTCTGACACAATCCAACCAACCGATAAACCAACCTCACATTTATTGACATTTTTTTAATTTTAGCATTTGGTATATTGTAATCTGATTCAGCTAATGTATAAATAGCGTTTATTTGACTCCTTGTGTATGAAAGATACCATCTAGAGTCAACGTATATATATACATTCAGTCGTTTATAAAAACTCATCGCGCATATATGTATATACACAGCTTACAACAGGAGATCGAATAAACAAAATTAAGCCTTGAAGTGATTTGGTGAGTGGTGACTAGCAGTGGGATCCAGAATGCGCATTTCGTCCTATTTGAAGTTCGTCATCAGCATTCCCCAGTCAGTGATGGTGTTCTCACTCGGATTAGAACCCAGCACCCACTGTTTTAAACGCCAAATGCTCGTCAACATTCACCAGATTACTTCAAGTTAATTCCCAGATATCATCGAAGTGTCCGTACTAGGAGTCGGCAGAAATGTTGACAAAGAGCAGGATATTCCTGTCTAATTAGTTAACAGGAAAATCAAAATTGACTTAAAAAGACTAAACCCCTCTAAAAAAACCTTCTAAATTGTATTTTGTTTCATTATTTCGTATGATTATTGAAATGGGAGACGATTAAAGAAGGCGTTGATTAAACTGATTATCATAAAACAAAATCTCTCCTTCTTTCTTCGACTTGCTTATTTTTAGCAGCAAAGAATAAACATCATTCAAAAGTAAGAAGTTATCTTAGTTACAAGAAAAAAACATACGCATACTAAGTGATACAATATGGTAGTATTCTATACTACGAAATTTGCCTAGCCAAGATCGAAAGAAAGAAGGAAAAGAAAGTGTGCAGTAAGACAGACAATAAACACATCTATCACATGTATACCATCACCCGGCGAAAAATCAATTCCAACGGGGATGTAGCTAGCTGTCCAGACAGCTCAGATCGGTGCATAATGAAACCTCAATTTAAAATCAACTCCTAGTTTACTGATTTTGTTCACTGGTAAAAAGTCTCTTCATTGAGAAGATTTTTGGCGTGTGTAGGTTAATAGGAAGTGGCCAAACTGAAATTAACATTTTAAGTCAATATCTGGCTGGTTGCAGAGGTAGAAGTGTTTATTCCTCAAATATGGATTTATTTTACGTTGTAACGATGAGATAACCTGATTGGACAATCTTGTCTAACATCGGGCCAATAAGCCAACCAATCAGTACAATCTAGTGTCAGCTGACCTAACCGACTTTTACTGTGGTTAGAAATGTATTTGATGCGTTTATTCTTCATAAAAATGTCCGTTACCTAGTCTCTTATTCTCTCCCGTTACAGATTTACAAACCTGATAGAACATGTGGGAAAAAACATGACGCAAACTGATTACACACAAAACTGAAAGATAATACAGGTTAGTAATTTTCTCGTTTAGAAGAGAAATTGACCTAAAATAGAGAGAATTGAATGTCAGCTTTTAAATTAACTGGTGAAGCAAAATATTTTTAAACTGTAAAGTTATACACATAAAATTAAACGTGCTTATATTGTTATGTGCAAATAAACTAACAGTAGAGCATACAATAAGGCGGTAGATATTAGATTAGTTCTCCTCATAAAGGCAACACCGACTAGTTATTTTTTTTAAATGCTTCAAGTTTTGCAAGCCGATAAACTGATCAATAGTGTTAACTACTTTTAAGATATTTTTTATTTGGATAAAAGTGTATATCTGTTGAATTAATGTTCTACTATCGACCTTTATGTACAAAAAAGATATGAAACTCAAAAAAAGCAAAGAAAAAAAACACCATGTACTTTATATGAATGCCAATAAACGAACTTACAGGAATTCCACGTTTTCGTAAATGCCTTATGAAAAGTGGTGAGGATATGACGCTGTAAACGGAAATGTGCATACAATTAATAATAGGTAAATGGTTTTAACATTTCATCATTTTTAATTATTATTATTATTATTACTATTATCATTATTATTCAGTAACTTTCTTTTTCTTCCTTCACGTTCCCCAGTGGAACATAGGGCTTCAAGCTACTAGCTTGAAGTTTCTGTAGCAGTGTTTATTTTACAGGATGAGGTTGCTAGCCTCATGTCCAACCTTTCCTCTTCACTAGCATTATTTCTGGTTTAGCGAGGTAAAGGAGTGCGTCAGCCGGGGATCGAACCCCGGACCATGTGCATGGTCGGCGAGCGTCCTAACCGCTATGCCACCGACGCACTTATTCAGTAACTTAACCCTATCAAATAATAAGTTACTTAAAGTGTAGTTGATTTGTATCACTGAAATACGAGTGATTCTATAACATGAATTTTCCTTAGGAAACACAAAGCATTCAGTTCACAGCAGATAATTCGCTTCCTATTTCAAGTGGTAGTTATGAAACGAAGCAAGATACACAGACTGTATTCACCACTGATTGATATGAGAGCTTAGAAGGTCATTTTGTTAACTAGTAATACCTATCAGCCTAATCTATGTGATCAAAGCATCAGAAGGTTGGTTTGCACACATGGGCTGTACTTGGAATGATCTAACCAGTTCAAACCAAATCAAGTGTGGCTACTAAATACACAGAGTACACTTATCATTAGCACACAAAACAGTTCAAGATGAAAGCTTGACATATATCGTTGCAAAAATGCAAAATATATTGTTAATTAAATAGAGAAAGCTATTTATAGAACACTACTAAGTGATAGATAAGCATATCAGAGAAAAGGTATTTTGTAGTAGACATTAGGTATAGCGACCACTGTGCACGACCACACCAGTGATCTTGAACACATGCCATTCGTTGGATTACAAAACCTACTGTGTATTCCACATCAGAAAACTGTTTATTTAGGAGGAAAATTAAAATAATAATGAAACACATTAAAGATGAGATTCTACCCTGGCGTAACTGAAAAATGCTTCCCAACTACAATGAAGGCTGTCAGTTTTTAAGTTCCACAGCTATCAAGACGGTTTCATCTATATCAACAACGAAACACTCTCCTCCCAATTATTTATTTACAAGTAAAATACAGATAATAATAATATAACACCCTAGCCATAACGTGCTATCAAGCCATTATCCAAACAGTACTAAAATACGAGATCAGAATGAAATTTACACATCAATTCATGCACAGAGTTCATACTGGTGTGATAATAATGACAAGTTCTGTAATCCAACGAATGACATGCGTTCAAGGTCATTGGCGCATTCGCACTGCATGGTCGCTATTCTTTAGAAAAGCCATTCATCGACTCTGTATAAAAACGTGATCACATCTTTTCATGAGAGTTATCTGTTTGATCATTGGTTAATACTGTTGACAAGTCACAGATTAGCATGAGACAACTGTCGAGTGCTCTTTGGTCAATTTCTGACATAACCAACAATAAGATTTCTACTTCCCATATACGGCGTGCTATGACTAGGGATGAGAAATCTCAGGGCTCTTCTTCGAAATGCCCCCCCCCATATGGTCATGCGTTCATAATCTCTACCAGGTTAATCCTACTAATTGTCCTCACACAGAGGTGACTGTCCCTACAAAAGTAAAAGAGTGAATGCAAATGTCTAGTGCTCATGACCGGATTGATAGATATGGATGGTTCGACTGGGGAAGTTGGAAGACGCTGATTAAAAACCTATAGTTCATGATCTGAAAGGAAGGAATGGTATAGACACGTGTTTCGATCCCTGGTAACAGTAGTAATAGGTTGCTGACATTGCTTTGCTTACTAAAGGATGAGAATTTAAGTCAAAGACTCGAAGGGTGATCTAATCTGACCAATCCTCTTCAACTTCACTATCAATGACATCCTGAAAGCGGGTATAAAAGATGTGCATGATGGAGGGGGGATATACTACTTTGAGTAAATGTGCTGTCACACTGGGACACCGGCTTTCGTGGTTTCGATATGTGCAAAGAGTATCCTCTCAGCGGCTTCTACGGCGTTCAATATATATATCACTATTCATGCTACCTAATTTCTTTATTTGGAATGCAGAGTAATTAAAGATAGTTTGTGAGCACAGAATTGTTCTAATCCTACCAGTCCCACTGATTCTTACATGACATAGTTTAGGGTAAACTGTAATTTAAAAAATCACTAAACATTAGTCATACATAGTTGCCTCGTTAAAGATGAGCTCTCAACTTCACGAGGACTTAAAATTCTCTTGTGCAATGAGAATAAGGTGTATCTGCCTATATAGAGAAATCCATCATTAAGACTGGTGTTTGACGCACTTTTCTGTCCGTGTGGTTGAAATTTATGAAAAAAGTAGTTCGGAGAAGAGGCTCCTTTTCAGCGATTTCATTTTCTTTGCCTGTAAAGTAGCATTTATACACCATTTTTCTCACAAAAGAGGATATTAACGGAAGAGGTGAATTGTCCTAACCACAGTTGGCACTATTAATCAATACATAAGTTGAGTAGGAGTAATGAGAAAAATCATTTGATAAATAATTTGCAGAGAGGATCTTGCGTCTGACAACTTCCATGTGCACATATAAGTTCACTTGCTTCTGTGATGCCACATACGTCGGTCGTTCAACGCGTATCAGAAAGAATTCAGAACGTTATTCTACATGGTTGTATAGAAGATCCATAACGAGCACAATATTTGAACACTTCTTCAACAATAACTACTCAGTTTCAACAAAATCCTTATTCAAAATGGTCTTTTAAGTGAAGGACAACCCAACCAAAGGCAATAAACATTAGCCTACCTAATGAAGCTTTAGCCATTCGGACAGAAAAACCGAACCTCTACCTGAAACTGTGACTCATTTGGTCTAGGTTCTTGACTTTCAATGATTGGTTTACGGGTTCAAACCGCTTTTCCCCTATGGAAGTTTAAGCAACCAAGTAGGATCATTAGCTTCCACAAAACACGTGTAGTTCATTACCAGCTGCATGGATTAACAAGGGGCTGCTGTGAGTAACATTATTTGATCACGCCTAATATTATGATAACGACCTTCTTGTTTTCGACCAACTTTTTAACTTTGTCCTACTCTTCCATTCCCTTGGATTCATACGCAACATCACATTTCTTTTGTTTCCATGTGCACACTGACTGCAACATCAACAATATTACACCATCTGTCAAGTAATTTATCTCATTACATAACTTCGTCACTCTTACTCAACTTCTCTTATATATATGATCAATATTGCCAGCCATGCTCATGACAATTCACCTCTCCCGTTACTATCCTCTTTTGTGAGAAAAATGGTATATAATATACAGCCAAAGAAAATGAAATAGCTGAAAAAAGCTACTTTGTTGAACTACTTATTTTGTTTTTCATACAGGATTGGATGAAGATTATTCATGACTGGAATCTGTTGGAATTTCAAAACCAGAAACTGAGTCTTTCTTTGTAAATGAAAGCAAAACAGTAAGAAACTGAGATGATATTTAAAAAGCACTAAATAACCACAAGTTCATAATTTAACCATAAGGTTGTCATTAACCAGATGTTGTATAGGGACAACATGATATCACTAACATTAACACAGACATTTTATATTTTTTCTTCAACTTTGCAGATAAGGCTTACTGATAAGTACCAATAAGAGCAAAACCTTCATCTAGGGATTCCTGTTGATCACTTCTTACGTGACATCAAAAAGTGCATTGCGCTAGCGACTCTCCTAAACTGGTGATCACAATGCAAGGTGATTGACAGAATGCAGTTAGCACAAATAAGGACTGACTAACTGACTGGTTTCAACATAGAGCTTAATACAGAAGTGCAGCAGTTCAAGTTGCTACACTCTATGTAGCATATTAAAGGTGCAAAATTTGTAATAAGCAGCAATGCATGGAAGAAGGATAGTAACATGTAAAAAGCATGAGTGTTTAGTGGATGTGAGAAATTACAAAGGATGAATGCATCTTATCCGTTGAGAACAATTATGAGCCATATGATCAACAATCTCCAGCTTACTGGTTCTTAGAATCTCGAAGACCCCAACCAGCTGGTCTACACTTCCCTACCTGCTTCACAGACCAACTATCAAAGACTTTGTGGAGTGATTACAGGTTTTGATTTGAATACCCCTAATTCTTTTCCAGCCTAATCCTATGTCGGCAACATTACCTGTCGAGGAACGTGATGACTAGGCATGCATAACACATGTCCTAGCCATGTCAATCGATGTAGCTTCACATCCTCGTCGATCGACTTACCCTTCTTACCTAACACTCGAAATCTAAGGCACTGATTAATCCCCAGTGACCAATCAATACATTGTCATTGTCTTATTTAAGAAGTTCCACAGGATTTTTTTATACAGTAGTGTTTAGGGATCACAAATACCCAGATGATTTATATCACATATGACTTGGAACAGGTGAAGCGCTGCATCTAACTGAATCACAATAAAAATTATTTAAAAGAATTCCAGCGAATTTAGATAATGAATATAAGAATCTGCCAAAAAAAAACTAATAAACATTGGTAGTTAATTTTTAACCTTTAAACAACGGACATAAATGTCATTCACGAATTAACGTCTTCTATTATACAATAAACACACCAAAATACAAATACATATTTGACCACGTAACATTCGAAAGTTGTCAGTATACGATAGCTAATCAAACTTAATGAGTAATCATAGGTATACACATCTACCAGGTGACCTTCAAACAAGGTCATTTTATGTAATGCACAATTTGACCACACAGCTTGACTTCTAATGAAAATAAAGCAATTTCGTTTTTTTTTTAAAACAACTGTGATTTAAGCAGCGATACATTTAGAAAAGGTTTGTTGTCTTAATTTGTCATTTAACGCTGAGATTATTTCAAATAATTTTCTAGAGTTTAACAACGGTCAGCATAAATGAACAGTAAAACTTGAAAGAGTTGTTTGAAAGCCAATTAAGCGTGTAAGAAGAAACTTACTACTCTGATAATAAGAGAGCAGTGTTAGGTAGAAAGCGATGCCAATTACGTCGTCTAGCGAATTCATTAGATCTAAGCAGGCAAAAGAAGAAAAGAAAGAAGAATAATAAAAACACTGTAATTTCGTTTTCTTCTTATAACAGAATTGATTGAATTCTCATCAGATAAGTATCGTGGATATAAAAAAAATCTTGATAGACTATTAATAACTGGATTAGATGATTTTCTAGTACAACTTTTTGCTCATAGTCAAGAGTCAGTGTGTATGTACACCACTTCCTCACTTGCTTACCACATAGTTCTATATTTCTTAATTTTGATTCGATGAACAACGCCCCCCCCCGCCCTCTCTCTCTACCTAAATATATTACTTTTCAATACTTTTACTGAGTCTAACTCTGTAGTATAATTGTGTGGACGCACATGTCTAGAGTACTTGTTTTAGCAGCATCTGTCATTCTATATTTAACTTAATGTGGGTGTTATGATAATGTATTTGATGTCAATCGACTGGTTTGACTACATTTGACCTCAGAGTCATTAAAAGGTATTTAGTGATTTAAATTATTTTATTATTGTATATAAGAATTAGTTTTATTTAACTGAAAACAAACGGAGCACTAAATTAATCACCAGCCTACAGAAACAGTGTTGGCATTAACTGCATATTAGCATAAACACAGTATAGAAGTCGACAGGGTGAAGCCTACTAATATATATATATTTACCAAACTCTTATGGCTCATTTTACCAGACATTCCATTCGCAACCGGTGGGAGCCACGAACTCAAATCTACCAATGTTTGGTACATTGACAATTAAATCAATGCCAACGTGGTTATTGTGTGACATGTCATGAAACAGATATTTATTTATTTATTTGTGAGCCCTTGTATAGATTCATTCGATCGATGAACAGTTTAAAAAAAGTTGAGTTGTCCATAAATACATTTTCAAAACAGTTTACACAAGACTATCGGCAAACTACTGGGAGGATATAATACATTAAACGACCACTAACTAGGATATTACATACACTGATGAGGCTAAAAATTTTGATGAATGAAAATCAATACTCATTGAATCTCATAAAATGATTTATAAAAGAAGTAGTAAAAGGCCTCCAGATAGAGAACGATGAGAAGATGGTGACGTCAGTCTATCAGAAATTCAATATACCAGTTAATACAGATTATGTTAGAGGGAAAATCAATACTTTCATCATAATTATTATTTGTAAATACCCGGTCTATGTATGATAACCTACTTTTGGTTTAGACAAAAAGGATTCATGAACTAAAGGAACAAACTTCAGACTATGATTCCATCGTAGCTCGTTTCACCTCCATTAGTTATACCGGGACCACATGGTCCGGGGTTCGAATCCCGGCCGACGTACTCCTTTACCTCGCTAAGCCAGAAATACTGCTGGTGAAGAGGAAAGGTTGGGCATGAGGCTAGCAACCCCATCCTATAAAATAAACACTGCTACAGAAGCTTCAAGCCACTAGCTTGAAGCCCTATGTTCCACTGGGAACGTGAAGGAATATAGAAAAAACAGAAGGCAATCAGCGAATGACAAACATATTTTAGATTATGACTATATATTTTGAACAGAGGCTAATTATTTATCTCTTAAACATTCACAGCAATAGAAATACTAAAGCCGAAAAAAAACAAAATTAGTTAACTCACCGTATAACAGATATCAGAGGTAGCTCAAAGCAGTCATATTCTATGGGTATAAAGGGTAGCAATCCCACAAAATAACAAGCCATTATCCATACTACATAGGAAAATGGAGCGAAGGTAAGAATGTCCTTGTTCCGTAGTCTACACTTTTTAGAAACCTTTGAATTCATTGAACCCCATACGGTTATACGTTCTCGATTATGAGTTTCAATGAGACGAGCAACCTAAAATATTCACAAAATACATCTGTAGCTCATAAATTTTTCCTAAAATAGTTCGTCTACCTTAAATTATTAACACCGATGTCTGAAATGACTTCTCATATTGCTTTAGGAAGTGCAGAAATTGATAAGCTGACTTGTGAAAAAGTTGCGGAGGAAATCGTAACCAGCTGTTAACACGTTTGATTATTTTGACTCAACCATTGCTGGTCAATAATAATAAGGGATTACTGGGTTATTGCACTGATGAATGAAAGAAGTGTGAGGCCAGTGGAGTTTCAGTCTTAGACGGCTAGCAAGTCAGCTATACTGTGTCTCCTTTCAGGGAAAGAATTAAAAAATGACAAACGCCAAAACATTGATACTTTAGCTAACACTGTAACAATATGTGTTTTTTGCATTAAGCTCTACTAATTCGAGCAATTTTTAGAAAGGTGTGCGAACAATCACACATTAATACTATCTACACTACTTAGTAAGTTAAAACCAATCTTCCCTATTAAAGATACTCCAAAAAGAATTCAACTTCCAGTCTACACAGGTCTGACCGCCTTTAAATTTGCTGAGTCAGGCATTATTATCCTAACTTTTGTCATCTCTGATGAGAAATTTACGATACATATAATAACATATAAAAGTTTTGAATGAACGCTTTCTACATTGAATCCATGTGCGTCGGTGGCACAGCGGTTAGGACTCTCGCCGACCATGCACATGGTCCGGGGTTCGATCCCCTGCCGGCGCACACCCGATATCTATGGTCGGCCTGAATTTGGGCTACCGATATCCATGCTGAAAATTCCATACTTGTACTGAAAATACGGTGTGGAATCAAGCTGTAAATCAAAATAAAAAAAATAATAAAAATAGCCTCCAGTGGAGTTGTGCCGCAATTGTACATATCTCATCTGACTAAAAAATATTAGAAAACAACACAATTCACGCTTAGTGTATCTGAACTTCTAATAATCACATAATTACAGGTGTGTGTGTGTACAGGAGAAAATAAACTTCTCTACTGGAGCCCATTTGATGGTGACATATGTGATACTCAGCAAATTAGTACTTTTATCCTAGCACCGTAAGAAATTAAACAATGCATTTATGAAGGATAACTAAAAGGTTTCTTTATTAGTGTGGTAGCACATAGAGGTGAGAAAAGTCAGAAAGTGAAATTCATGGAGAAACTATGATTCAGTGTCTAAAAGTGTACATTATGAATGATCAGGTATCAAAAATAGAAACTAACCTCATCAATAAGGAAATCATCATGAACCTTGATGTCTATATTGATAGGGGTTTGTGGAAATTTAATAAACAGGTCATTCAGCCGAGCGATTTTGTGTGATGGAGAAGATATTTCGTTACAAAAGCAACCTAACTAGGGGAGAAGCAAAAGCAACATAATTACAAAATCACTTTTAATTTTCTTAAACTGAATGAATAAAACCTGTTAAAATGTGTGTTTAGACAAAAAGTAATTACGTTTAATTACTTGCGTACGACAGGTGAATAAAGTTGAGCCACAACTTATTTCTTTCTTCAGAAACCCAGAAAGTACAGTGAACTTCTTGACAGTCGAATAGAGATGCATATGTCAATCACTTAAGGTTTATACTAAAAAATAAGACCGATTATGTTCTTACTTAACAACCTACATAAATTAGTTGGATCAAATTACCTTTCTCAAGTCAAATATTCAGATTTTGAGTAATTGATGCTTGAAACTCAAAGGTTGAAACTAAAATTCTATATTGTGTGGTAAACGTATTGTGAAAAAGTCTGGAAATTCGACAGATCGATTGTACCGGCAAAGGACTTGGCTCACATGTGTATTTGTAACAGATTAAATGTACGAATTAATATGTTGCGAACTTCTTGCGTGGTCAGCTTATGGGTAAAAATCGATTCTGATGAGCTCTGAAAGTGATGTGGAGCAAAGACTGCTCAAACGTGAACTGAACAGAGAAATTATGGCGATTATAACCAGTAGTGTGCAATATAAATGAGAGGATGGAGAAGTTATGAGCGCTAGGTAAATCGCGTAAACTACTTAGATTTGAAAAAGGTCTCTAAAAGGACGAAGGAAAACGATCTTCAAGAAAAACAGAACTTTCAGTAAAACGAACTTGAAGATTCAGCGGAACACACGGTTTTCAAACCTTCCCGAGTTTGTTAAGTTCATTTCAAATCAAAGCAAAGGAATGGGAGCTGAATTTTTGGATTGAGAAGTGACGATAAATGAATACTTGCTAGATTAACCACGGTAATGGTTGCAACATAGTGATACGAGACATTGGTCTTCATAGTTTTTAAAAATCTTAACTGCAGGGGAATCAGTTTGTGTTATAAAGCATTTAGCATATTAGGATCAATAGTCATGCAAACAGAGGAGTGAACATGCTTCCCACTAAGAAAAATGCACTGAACTAATATTCACTTTATGATTTTCTGGAAATGTATTTATAAAAACATCTGACTCTTGCTATAATTATGGGCCTGAAGACATCTGACCTAGTTAAATTAGGTCTTGTAGAAATGTCTGGTACTGAAAGGGGTACAGACAAAGTATAATATTCAAGCTAAAACATTCTTCCCTGACTAAAGAAGCCTTGTGAAAGCTTATACAGAAAAGGATTCCGTTTTCTGTGATGTCTGTGAAATTGGCTTGTCGCATGAGAAACAGCTGATGTAATTATATTAAGGAGACAATCATATTCTTTAGAATGAAGATAGTGAGAAAATGGCTTTCTGAGTACTATGAGCGAATAACTTTGACATGTATTTTGCAGCCACTGTCCAGGGATTTCACTAGATAAGTATTAAGCAAATTGCGGTTTAAGAAGAGGCAATGTTATATTGTAGGGTTGCTTGGTAAGTGGCGTCAACCTCGATAATTTGATTACTGGAAAAGTTACAGCAAGGTAGTCCACACACAGCAGCAGTAGTAATAATACTAAGATGAAGGAATAAAAGCAATACGACCAGAATACACACAGTGTCTTAATATAAAGCATTAAATATGGAAATTTAATCGTAGAATTAAGATGAAAAAAGAGGGGAATACATCTCAGCAACTACAATCGATTAACGGCTTTACCACATACGGAAAACCAGAAATACCACGGTCACCTGGATTCAACCAAGAAATCTACTATTCACATATATCAAATCAATAGTCAACAATTCTATGGTAAAACATGTAAGCGAACAAAATCGGTCCCAAAGAGATCTCTCTAGGCTTCATTTCAGCATATATTACAGTACAAATGAATATTAAATGTAAACTAATCATGGATACCAGATACCTATGCAATTTTTAAGAGGCACGTATCACTCAAACGGAAAAGATGACGTTACGGAAGAAACCATAATTTCTTAAGTTGCAATTTGACAATTTATTCAGTAGAATTTTGTTCCAGAAACTAACAAGAACTACTTGAAAGAGACTTGATGCGACATCAGATAAGTTTATTTGATACAACACATTGTGATACAGTATTAATAAATGGATGACGTTTCGAGAACAATTTATTGCTCCTGGTCATCTCAAAGATTTATAATTTGCTTAATATATATATTTCTCTTTCCTCCTTGTCGTTTGTTGCAATTTTCTATATGTTGGAAATAAGCATTGTATAATTTCGATTGGACGTATTCGGTGTTAATTCAATGAACAAGCAATCGACTGTCCCTGTAGAGACAGTTATATTAGGCTTACAACTAGAAAACTAGTCCTGTGTGTCAATCATCATGGTTGGGTGAAGGACAGGTAAGAACTGTCACAAGCTGCATTTCGTCTCATCTAGCTGGTTGAGCCTGTTTTCTGGACAAATACGAAAGTATTTCGCAGTATCCAGTCAAACTTTTGCAATGGTTTTTACATCCACTTACTGCATATGGCTGAATCTACTGACATCCGAAACGATAATGATTAAGCATATACGAAAAGGTTTGCAAATCTGTTAACCCTCCTTTATCGAGGAAAGGAATAAGTAGTCAATTATACCATATTCTCTTACGTATTGAAATTTTCAATTAGAATTTTCTGTCAGCATTTCATTAGTCCTATTACATCATTACAACTCTGTCTACAATTCTTACAAGTTAGCGTTGTATAACCCTACTTAATTTTCTAAGGCTTAATCTAATAAGTCTAGATGGATATTAATCTTCATAATCACAAAGCTTTAATTCTTTTCGTTATCACAAATTTCCACAGTGTTTGTCACCGTTATTAACGGAAGTTCTATTATGAATAAATGTGCAACCTGCAGCTACCTTATCATCATACAGACAAATCATCACATTCAGTTTGCATACATTTATTCACAAAGTTGTGCAAATTAAGACCTGAGACAATATTCGCTTACATTTTTGCCTCTAAATTTAACTACTGGAATCTTCATAATTTTGCCACTTACTTACAACAATAAATGTAACGGACAATATTGTTTTCAACTAGATAACATGGGACTTCCCTCTAATATACATAACTGTACAAATAAATAGTATATATAAACCAATCGTTCCATCCTTTCATCTTTGTTACGGTTATTGACCAATTGCACAGTCTTATCATCCTACTTACAAGTTACTATAATTAGTTGGAATTTAATATTTATTTGTAAAGTTATGCACATTAGAGTAAGGTATGATAAGATCAAACTGAAAACGAAATTGTTCGCTTACACGTGTCGTTTCAAATCACTTCATTGGTGAACATTAGTCATAGTTAAATATTTCTCCGCCCCCCTTTTTATTAGCGTGGAGGGTTAAGAGTCACGGATCGACTGAAATCATAGGGAAAATATTCCGACTGAGATATAGCTTAAGAGGAGACTTAAAGTGCCTCAGACATGAATAAGATGAGACTAAGAATTTGCAATTTGCCGTTACGCACAGACCTAAAGGAAAAAGGAATGTCACCAAGTCTTCATTTGAAATTGTGAAACAGGTATTTGATATGCAAAAAATCTGTTGTAATTTGTGTGCCACATATTTCAAAAAAAGTCTAGTTAGAAAAATGTAGCACGGTGTTAAATTCCCGTACGTTTAAAATTACACCATACCTGGGGTAAACTGAACTTCAATAACCTTGAGGTATTGAGGCAAATCTTGATATTCAAATTCTTTTATTAATCCCGGGACACCAGTACAACGGTCCAGCGTTTGGTCATGAAATACGACCACTTGATTATCTTTCGTGAGATGGCAATCCGTCTCCAACATATTCGTACCAGCAAGCAAAGAGCTAGTTATAATAAAAGTGAGTGATGAAAAGTTTCAGTACTCACCTACTGAAAGCCTCTAGAGTATTTTCAATATTTTCACCGGAGCCACCACGGTGACTGATGTGAGGAGCCTCAAACGGGAACGTTTTCTTTTTGTGAAGTATAGAAGGTCGCCTTAGAAGCAAATACGAAGAAACAGAATAGGCCGCAAAAATGGCAGCAATAAATCCCAGCATGTCTATAAATTCACCCAGAAAATAACGCCAAACGAACCACAACTACATGTCCTAACATTCAGTTTGGGACCTTTAATGTCAAGGTTAACAACTTTAGAACATAAAAACAAATTGCAATCTTCATAAGAATACAAAATATAGTAAAAAATAACAAGTACTTAATAATATGATGCTATTTACTCATTCAACATGTTCTGAAAGGACCCCTCAGATTGTAGAAGTTAATGAGACAATAATTTCTCAAGTTTGAAGGTCATATCCCTATGTCTCTGAATGCGGATTCACCAGCTTTTGTAATTTATGAGTTGCATTTAATTTAGAGGTACTCATTCATGCTGCGTATTTCTTACGTGACCTACTGATTGCCATTTGATTTCATTTTTTTGACAGATTCACTACTTCTACAATCATTTCAGTTTGCTCCTGTCATTTTAATAGTTACGAAATTTCTTGTGACCAGTTATTACAGTTCTTTACATTCTAGGAGTAATTCAAAGTAAAATAGTATTCTGCCAGAGGCGTAACCATAAATAAAGATTTGTAAACGTTCTCACTTTTACAGACCATCCCCTTCAGTTTGTAAATTTCGTTTGCGATTAAACGACTAAAATTGCAGCTTTTCTCCAAAGTTCAAGTTTCAAATTCAATAAGTGAACTTACTGAATGATTGTCTACCTTATTCCAATTGTTCGTTTCATAATAACATTGTCAGCGACCTCAATTTCGCTTGTCCTCATCTTATTCAGATATCCATCAAACCTTATGTTGCATATATTTACGACTTTATGTAAAGCATGAAAATTGAATGGTAATGTCATGTTTTGGATAAGAGAAGCATATCTATACAGTTCATTGAATTACTTATCATGATAGTTTTTGGATATTCCGTCCTCTTCTATGACAGAAAATTCTATCATTTTCTTGGGGTTTTGGATAGTCTTGGGCAGCATTCTCTACAAGTCATAATGGCCAGCTAACGTTTACTTTACAATATGTCAAGCAAAGTTACTTTGAAGATGCTACCACAATCACTGCACATCGTTTTAATGAATATTCACCGACTAATTATCATACTTGAAAAACTTTCCAATGGTTTACATTTTTAACACAATCAGAAATGAAAGTGACACGCGCTGTGTAGATACTTACCGTGTTGAATTCATATGCTGGTTAGTATTGTTTGTGTCAGTTTTCCCTTTCCTCTGGCATAACAACTATGCATGTTGTTCATTGACGATGAATAATCCAGAGTTTCTGAGGTAACATGCACTTCATTGATATCCTACACATATATGGATTTAGTAGTGGTATACTATTCGTAAGCTCAGTAAGAACATAGATAGATTGCTAAAGTTATTTTGTCAACGTTAATCTTGTCCTGATGAATGATCAGCATTCCATAGAGATTGTTTAACGAATCAACTACTTCATAAAATTAAGGTTTTTTTGCTGACTACGTGTTCATCTGAATTTCCAGGAGTAAGCAGGATTACAACTAATGCTAAAAGAGAAATCTATCGATCAGTACACGACAGAGATTACTTTCATGAAGAATATTGCCTAAACCTGAATCCATCTATATTAGTTCGGAAGCGGATTTATGGAAATTTAACTCATGGAGTAATTCTGAAACACCTGAGATCGGATGCTGAGCGAAGTAACCAGCATCCTGAAAGAATTTTGGGTCCATTAATCTTATTTCAGCCGCTTTCTACTCCAACGATGGACAGCAATCAATGAAGGGTCTTTGGCGTCACATCTTCTTTCGTTCTGAAGGACAGAGTGAAATATCAACACACGTGTATACAAATATATGCTGTCGAAATAATGTAATCAGTTAAGATTTGTATCTCCGCGTGAATGAATTCCGAAGAATACCTCCTACAATCAGCAAATTGTCACCAAAATCATTGCGTCTCATGATTTAGTAAAATACACACCATTTTTCCGAGGAAGTTCAAGTGAGTTTCCCTTTAGTGTGACCAAAAACATAGTATGCTGTGTGTTATGTTCAGTTTATCTAAAGACTGTTATCAATACAGATTTTGGAAATTTTTATGACGTTTAGTAATTCCCATACTAGATTTGTTTTAGTTCTTTACACAAACCACGAAATTATAATACTGAGTGCTTGACTCTTGTTATCACAATGAAAAAGTTCCCAGAAGACTCTGTTAAGGCCAGGGTCTATTGTTTTACAGAAAAGGCTACTAGACCACATATTACGACTATTTATAAAATAACTGCAAATGACCGAATAATTACAAGTTCACAGTGTGAAAACTACGTTCTAGCAGGATAACAGGTGAGAATGAAACCCAAACAGTGTGAATTTTGACCCTGAATTAGCCTCAGTGTATTTTTTGCAGACCACTTGGTAAACACTGGTACACAGCGTGTCGTGTCCCCGAAGGCGGTTTAAGGTTAAAACTAGACAATCTCATTCAGCGTTTGCTTAAAAAAAATGAATTATCATTACGTAATAGAATTTCAATGCCATCAGTCTGTAAAATGAGCAGTGAATGAAAGGTCTGAACTTTTCCGTCATGTCATTGTCGTAAATACACTGTTTATTTAACTATAGTGTTCAAAAGTCTCGGAAATGAATTATATTCTCTTCTTTTTGTACCAGATCAGTTCATTTAAGGAGACATTTATGGAGAGTCCAAAAGCCAAAGCGAAACTATATCACTACGAAAACCTTGTCTTGACACCTGGAACCGACTATCGGAGGAACTAGTGTCTGTTCCCTCAAGTGAGTCGTTCAGAAACAAAGTAAACACGCACACTCTCATTAGATAAGGATTATTACGGACTTTTCCTTCCATCTCCTAATAATCCTAAAATGAATGGATCGCAGTAGTTGAAGCGCGCAATTGGCATAGTACGCTACCAACAGATTTCAGGTTTTTGCAAGATAACCTCCAAAATCTGTCCATGGTAGTTTTATGATTGTTATCGTCTTCTGAGGTGTGTGCTATGTCAATTTTAAAACAGTTATAAGTTTCCTTATTGTCTGACATATAAAATATATGTAGAAATGTAGTTAACACAATCCAATTCAATTGAATTCGTAATTTGCTGACATTCTGAATTTACTGTCATTCCATACCGTTACACCGCAGCTTAATGCGAAAAATTGTTGAGTTAGTGGGTTGCAGAAATTCTTTTGCAATATACAACACGTGTTATGAGCCGTTCAAATGGCCGTACTGTAATGTTGACTTGCAGGACTGAAGAAATATACATGAGAAATATGATTCTAGCGAGAACGAATAAGTAGAGTAATATGCTTAAATACTTTTGACAAGAGGCGATTTCCCAAAAACGACAGTTAGCATCATGCGGAGTTTGTGTAATTATGAACTTATAACTCCGCATATTTGTAGCAGTTGAAGTCAAAACATTCCAGTGAAGCACACAAACTAGTTGAAATTCCGAGCTTATAATACTAAACCAGATAAAAATGTATCAAGAAAATAATGTTCATATACACATTAGTAACAACTTTCAGAAGCTGAATCCTACTGAGCACGAGTACGTATGTCTTTTGATGGATTTCAGGATAACACTTAATTAGAGGGACCACAGTCGCAAAATACAGTGTTTCAATGTGCTTTTACTACTTGTGTTAGTGTGATTCTCTGAGCACCTTTAAACGTTAGCATATAAAGTACTTCAGACTAATTTTCGCTCCCGAATTTCGTCTTAATTTCTAATCATTTCAAATTGATTTTGTTATGCCCGTATATAATTCATAAGAAAAGTAATTAAGGTGGAAATTTTCCCCCAGTAACTATTTTAGTCGCCGCACTTGAATCTCTCAGATTCAGATCATAAGGATAGAAAGCTCTTGTTGCCTATGTTAATCCTTGCGATATGTATCTCTGCAGAGATGTAGTTTCTCTCTGAAAGCGTTCACCGATGGAGCCGTTTCTACTGAATCAGGTAGGGAGTTACAGTCATTGACCACTCTGTGAGAGAATCTAAATTCCACAATTATTTTATTGGACCTTGGTTTGAGCACGTTCTTGTGGTGACCTCGTAAATGTATCCTAAAGGGAGAGAAAGGTTTGAAAGGTCAGTTACTAAATCACCCTTCAATATACGGTATGCCAAAATTAAGTCGCCTATCCTCCTTCGGTATGATAACGGGAAGAGATTTAAATGCTCCATCCTCTTATCATAAGGAAGGTGTGAAATGCCACTAACTAATTTGGCTCCCACCCGCTGTACTCTTTCTAGGATATGTGCTTCCTTATTGAAGGATGGACTCACCGCTTTTAGGTAGTATTTTAGATGAGGTCTGACATATATTGCATTGAGTACTTGGAACACACCCTCATCTAATCGTCTGAAAGACCTTCGAAGTGCCCATAGCATTTGAGAAGCCTTAGCTGCGGCTCCACTACAATTCTCCGTTGTTTTCAAGTCATGGCTTACAATAATTCCTAAGTCCTTTTGTCCCTAACATCTGGCAGTTCTCTGTCTTCTAGGGAGTACGACGTGTAAGACATCTGACCTAGGAGCATTGCCGTGCTTTTTTGGAATTCATTTCCAGACTCGAGAGTTTAGCTTATTCAGCTAATTTATCTAGATCGTTTTGTAGTATCAACCTATCATCGTTATTATTTACGGTTTTCCACATCTTAATGTTGTCGGTATATGATAAGAAGTATGAGGTGAGAATTTCCGGCAGTTCATTTACCTATAAGAGGAATAACAGGGGGCCAAGTTGTATACAATAGCCACTGAATACAGATTAATACTGTGTGAGAATGTTGCGTTACAAAATGGAGTATTAGTCATTTATTTTTATTATTGTTTGAATTAATATCATATGCTTACCTATTATAAGTTAGAAAAAATACATCATTCAATTATTTATCCTCTCTCAGATTCTTGTATACTTCTAAATGATAATCAACACTCACAATCTACCATTGCATCTTGTAATATATTAGTGTCAGGTATAGTTTGAAATTGCATTCACTGTCTGTTATATACTGATATGGAAGGATTTGCACTTTTAAAGCCTGAACAAGTGGTTATTGAAAACATTTTTTCACTCCAATTATTCTTACCACAAAACATTCCACTTTTTGTTTCCGAATATTTTCGTTTATATAACATTCACTGCCCTATCAACGTTGCTATTCTGTTGGTTCATCTCTTTTTAGTAGCTCTTATGTTTTCAATGGGTATCAAGTGGTCACTCAGTAGCAGTGTGGTGTTTTCATTCATTTATTTATTCTGAAAAATGTTGGTTAAGTATCGTTACTAAGTGATCTTGTGTTTGCCCCAGATATAATTAGGTTAGTGATAGGAATTTATTTGTTCAAATGTCAAGGAAGATTTGATGAATAAAACATGTGCACGCAACGTCAGTTAAGTAGGAGGTATATGTTTTCAATAAGGGATGGCGTAGTTCAACTACCAGATGAAGTCTTATAGGGTTGCTCTCCTCCAACCATGGGACCTCAGTCTGTTTGTGGTGGTCAGCGTACTTTTTATTTGAATCAGTATGAATTTTCTTTATATGTATACATCATGTAGTGAAGTCGTACTCAAATTACTGAAATTTATTTGTATCTAGACACGACAGCTGTACAGTATCATATATATATATATATATAATACAGGAACTGCTGTGGAGGTAGCTATGTCTCCTGTACTCAGTATTCATCCAAACGAATAATCGAACACTTGCCACCGTAGTTTTACAGTGGAAAAGAAAGACCCCTCTGTGGCTCCATTCTAGAACACCTGACAGGTTTCAAACACTGAGAGAACCCGCGATCCAAGTGCAAAGTACGCAGTAATCTTGTTGATGTCATACGAATCTAATCTCAAGCTGCATTAGACGTGGAAACCCGTGTATTAGGTCCTGAACTCTGCATGCAAAAGTTGGTTCATTCGTTGAATTTACAATAGACCTAATTTGTGCAAATATTTGACCCATAATTTCCTTTTCCACTATTTCACTCCGCTCCATATGAGACTGATCTGCTCAATTCTATCGATTGTGTTACGCCACACAGTGCAGTGTTTTAGTGTCTACCTGAGTAATATTTAAGTGTTATATAACTTTATTTGGGGTCTCTTGACTGTTATGTAAAAGTCAAACAAAACTTTTAATGACAAATTTTTGGAAACAATCCTTTTGTTTCTTTGACAATGTATTATATATGCGATTGTACATCTTAAGAATGATTTCATTACCTTTTCGTGTTGGAGTTTTAGACTACTTTCAGTTTTTAAGTAGCACGGAAAATTGCTGATATATTTTTATTGCCATGTCTAGATAATTTACCAAATATCAGCTCCAACTGTACATTTATTCCACAAACTGTAGGTTGACTCAGTATATAACTTGCTAAAAGAATGATTCGGTAGTGACTTGCTGCTTTTCGTATATATGTAATTTGTGCAATAGTCACTTTTAAGTCTGGATAAGAACGTGGTATTGGGAAAAATTGTTTACTCAGTACTATAGTTCCAATGGAATGATGGAACTTGAAGTTTTGTAGATACATTTCAACCAAAATGGAGAAATGGAGAATGTCTGGTGGTTAAAACGTCATAATGAAATGTTATTAGACATCATTGATTGCAATCATAAGACAAAAAAGTTTTTGGAGGGGTACTTTTTGAACTGGATCTCAAAAACTAGGAATCACTAGGATGCATTATTTTGTGTTCAGTTGCTTTAACTGCGTAGAGAGTTTATCGACGAATGATTATCATTATTAGTTTCTCTGCTTGCTTCCCGAACAGAACAGAGGACCTCATTGGCACATCTCCACTATACCCCATCCCACAATAGCCCAAAGGATTTCATGTTCTCAAATGATCTGTATGTCACCTTTAGATGTTCAACCCGTCTGTTTGTATCTGGGTTCCACCCGAGAAACTGGTATGTGATGTCATTCATTAGTCTCCTTAGCGTATGTCCAAAGTATTTTCATTTTCTTCTGCGTATTTGTTTAGCAATAGGTCCTCTGTTTGGTTCGTTGCTAGGATTTCTTGTTACTTATCCTTTCTGACTGACCATCTGATCTTCATTGTCGACCCAGAGAAGGCTGTTGATAAAAGTCTGACCCTAGAAATAACTGTTGCTGTGTACACCAAGTCTCGTAACTAAACAGAAACATTGAATTGACATTAGTTTTAAAAATTCGAAGCTTGTTCTTTATGTTGAGGGTTGTAGATTTTCACACTGGTTTCGGAATAATAAAGGTTTGTCTTGCTCTTCCAATCCTACCTTTGAAATCCTTATTCACACAGCCTGTAATTGAAACCATACTTCCCTTAGGTTTCTGCCTTTGATAGTTATTGGTGTTTTTTGTTTTTGGTTGGGTGTTTTCATCTACTCTTCTTTCTCTATGCTCACCTGAGGTTCTGTCTTCGCTGCCTCTCTTGTTAGCTTTCTTCCAAAAATCTTGATGTTTGTGTTATATGAGACACAAATTATCTGCGAAATCCAGATATTCTAGAGGTTTTTGTCAGTCCATCGTATACCTGTCTTCTTACTTCTCCCAGTCTGTCGCATGATCCAGTCCACCACAATCAGGAATATCATCGGTGATAGTACGCAGGCTTGTCTTACTACTGTTTTCACTTCAAAAGCATTTTGTTAACTCTCTGTTGTGTCCTTAGTGCATCATTATTTCTAATGCATTATATTCAGTCACGCGTCAACTCTTGGTTTTTCTTCAGAGTTGGCGATATTTCTACTTTAAATTAAATTGTTAGAACATGCATCCCGAACCAGTGGTAAACTTATGTTTTGATGTTGGTTTTTTAATTATGAATGTGCTTGAGGTGGTGTAGTTGTTGTTTAGACTAAGATGTTACACCAGTTGGTAAAGGCATGCACAGTTTAGTTGTATAGGATATAAAAAAGGAATTCACAAAATGTGTAGTCTTCGATTCACGACGGTGAGTATATTGGTTTATTATAATACCAGTTAAGCGCATATGCAAACCCTAACAAGATTTTGCGGTGTTTTTGTAACATGGCTCGGAATTGTTCACATTGAAGTACATGTATTCACTCATTGTCATTTTTTCGAATTCTGAAAGGATTCAGCAATCCTGTTTTGATTATTGTATTTGTCACATTCAAGTTTTTCTGTTGTAGTATCATTACGTATGAGTTTCGTTGTTTTATGTGCTTTTTCGAAAAGTGTAAACTTAAACTAATGCACATCTATCCAAAGTTCTACGTTTATGTTTCAGTGGGTCTTTATCGTTATTATTTTTTAATTTTCTACATGCCATTAGTTAATACATACCTGTACATTTACTCTGTGGAGTCTAATTTGATTGGGTATTTTTTTGTGATGTGTAAGGTCAAACTATGGCATTATTTGCAAGCTCTCTACTATCTGTTTTTATTTTTTTTTTGCGTTTCTCACTATCCTGCTGATGATTTACAACATAATGCTTTGTATTTCAGGGTGAGGATGGGAATTGTATGATATTTTCTAATGATTGATATTTGATTGTGGATGTTTTTATCAATAGGCCTGCTGACATCCTCAACATCGACTTCATTGTAAAGACTAAAAGTCCTGTATCCAAAAACAATGCTTAGAGAGAAAAAACAAAATTGGAATTTTTCTATAGTGTTAATCGTTTTACTTAATTCACACAGCTAGCAATATGATACATTGTTATCTCGTTCACAAGCTTTTTATTTTTTATTTTCATTACAGATCAAGCTTCATAATGCTTTCTTCTACGTTTATGCATATGAAAAGCATTCCGTTGCATTTAATCCGCCGGTAAGATGAGCCAATTACGTAGTACTTATAAAAACAGGTGCCGAAGTTATGGTATCAAAATAAGGAATTTTGATCCTCCCTATTTGGTAAATACATTTCCAGTAACATGTATGCTCAAGTTTATTAGTCTGTTAAACCACCTATTCATGTGTATCAAGGAGTACAATTTGATATAAGCGGGCATGATTATGCACAGTTAGAAAAATTCACATCGTATATGCACAAGTTTTTCAATAATCATGGGTTTGAAGTTGAAAAGTTTGTACTCGTTTTCGACTAATAATTTACTTTGTTTAATTCACTGTGAATAGTTTTCCACTGCCTCCTAAAAAGAAAGCTTACCGACTGTATCATACTAATTCTACGAAGATTCAATCTGAATTTGAAATATCGGAGTTCAGGAGAATATACAGAGTACTGTGAATTATTGTTTCTAATTTCCATGCACTATCAGATATCTGGATTGAAAGCCGTTCATTTACCAATATTGTTGGATCTTATCTACCAGAACTTACCTGCAGGAATTAAAATTAGTGTTGGAAAGGTATATTTTAACTTTAAAATCCCACGAATTATTGTTTTCCCTTGTAGACAGATAAAACATTGGATGAAGATCGTTTTGTTCCTCAGTTGGAAAGAGAAGCATTAGAGAAAGAGTTGTCAAAGCTCAAATTTTAACAATTTCAGTCTTGTTGTACAAAAATACAATTACTAAAGTTTGACTCGATTGTTTTAAATTGTTTTTTGGGAAATTACATTTCGTTGATTTAGAAATCAGGGATTTCCTTTAGTGAAGTTTTGATGGTATTCAAGCATGTTTGACCTATGAGAGTACCGTTCACCAAGTATTTCTAGATTTTACTATGATTCTGAAATAATTGTTAGTTGGCTTTTCGGCATGTTATTGCATTAAATGCCACTGAGCTCTTGAAAGCTCTGCTTTAAGGTCAAAGTTCGATGATAGATAAGTGTGTTTGTAAGTTTGTACTCACGGATTGCATCATCTGATGAGTGAAACACTGTGCAGTTATGTTTAATTTGTTATCGAGGAATACTTTAGAACATTAAAGGAATTACTTCAACGACCACAGCATAATAAGCTGTAATTCGTGAATAAGGGAAAATTTTTCAAAAAAGACAGTCACGTGTTGACTGGACTTAAATAGCAACGCAGAACAAGCTCAAACTACCATCGTCTGGAGAAGCACAGAAGCAAGTCGTGGATTGGTAGGTGGTTAAACCACTATGGATGAAAAAGTACAGGAGACAGAACAGTCATATGCAGACTAATGATAAATTTCAGAAACTAAAGTCTTAAGGACTGAGTGCGCTTACATCACTGAGAAATATTTTCAACCATATCACAAATAGTCTATAAACGTTAATTTTTATCATCTCCAGGCAGTCTACATCCAACTATGTGGCTCAAACCAACAGTCAAATACTTCATGGATTGGTGACATGTTTTCATTTGACCACCCTTAACTCTTTTCCAATGTGAGCTAGCATTGCTCATCAAAGGTGGCTTGTCATACGTAACACATTTCAGCCGCCTCAATTAGTGGGGATACAATGCCTAATCGATTGTCTTTCTCTCCCAACCTAACACTACACGCCTAAACTCACTACTGCTGACTATATTGTTCCATCTAGCACAAAATCACTTACCCCTTCATGTCTTCCACTTAGAACGGCCGTGTCTCAAAGATGTGAAGTGGGACGGAACAAACTGCTTCATAGCACGCGTGTCTGTTGATGGGTACCAGGATATCACTCTAGTGCGGAAGTTATCGACTATCTAACGAGTTTTGTTTTTCTGTGCTGAAATCATATTAGCAAACCCTCCTACTTTACTTCGTTTTGGATTTGGGAGAGCTTATGCAACTTCAGCTACAGTTGGATGACCGAAGTCGATGGACGACTCTTGCAGTTCGGCTGTTGACCAGTGAACCGCTTCTGAAAATTTTCTAAACAACGTTACAGCTTTTCCTGTGAGGTTATTAAGCTTCCGCCCTTGGTGTCATTTCACGTTTTTTACAATCCGTTACTCTAATGCAACTAGATGGTTGACGTATATTAATTATTGGCGGTGTCTTCCAGGCTGTTGTGAAGACTTATTCAGCTCAAATTTGATCAGTTTTTACCTTTTTCCGAAATTACCTCAATCTTCCTCCTTCTGTCCATCTGTTTGAACGATACTCCAGAAATATATACATTTACTAGCTTTCGAGTACAGTTTATCAACAGCCTTCACCACTGTTTCTGTAACTGATTGGATATTACACTAGGTTTCATTAAGATAAGTATTGTTGACACACTTAGATAGGCGTTCGGTTGTTTTATCCCTAAGGATGAACTTAAGATTTCGATTGGAAACCTGGATGCGTAAGGGCCTTACAACCTCTTGTTTTTATGCCTATTCACTCTTATACTTACCTGCTAATTCATGATTTAAATTCACTCAGGTGTTCCGGAAGGAGCAAACCCTAGCCGTCGATACCTTGCATGTCGGTTAACTGCCCTTGTCCATCTTCGGCTTGATATCGGCGGTCGCCAGGTTAGACTGTACCTTTCCTTATGTTTGAAAAATGTTCTAGATGGGCTTAGTTGATCACTTGAACAGAATCATAATAGATAATCATTTCGTTGGTATGGGATTCTGCGGAAATGTCAAATATGCTTTTCACACTGACTCAGCTTCCCTACTTGAGTATCATAATCACCTATTAAGGTGACCATATCTGAGCTTATCACTTTTAGCATCAAACTAGATCCATTCTTGATTTTGGCTAGAAAATAGTCACTTAGCGCGTAAGCGAGATTACGAAACAGTGTCAATCGCTATCACATTCTGGTTTCTATGTTCAAACCAGTCAGTCAGTCCTTGTTCTTACGAATCCTCTCAATTTAACACTACACAGACAACTGTTCAAAGGAATCGAATAGGGAATTTTGTGCTATCGACCTCGATGCTATCCCTGCATAAGCAGGTCCATAAGAACTAAACTAAACTATTTTGACACCCGTAGAGCATATTTTCGAAATTCACTATATTGGCCAGGTGGAGTCGATTGAATAAACGCTCTTGATACTTGGATACATATCTTCAAGTCACAATATGCATTGTAAGCCTGGAGTTCGAGGCAGTTGGCGACTGAGGCCTGTTGTCCGACTGGGAATAAAGTTCAGACAGTGAAAGTCCCAATATGTGGTTAGTAGCGTGATTTTTACAGATTAAGGACAGTGTTTTTCTACCTCTATTCGCCGATAATCGTTACACAGTTTAGAGGAGGTGACGAAACTGCCTGTGGAATATTACTAATGAGATGAAAGTAAGAAGACAAAAAGGGAAATTTCATATGGTAGGTTGCTTCTTCCGGCAGCCTCCACTACTGCATTTAATTTATTCTTAGGATACTTGAAGGAATTAAAGCATCAGCGTTTTATAACCACAGAGCTCAAAAGACAGTTGCTTGAAGCCAGCCATACATGGTACGTATGGTAGTGGTGGCTTTTTGAGTTTCTTCCGTGCATAAGACCTTATCTCCGGCTACAGACCGTGATAGGTTAATTCAGGGTATATAGTTCTCGGCCTCAACCTTTTCTAGCTACTCACAAAAGCGGGATGAGGAATTGCCGATGGTAGTCACTTTACTGTTGCTATACCCCTATCTGTCATCGGTGTGAGTGACCTCTTTGATCAACAAAGGAAAGCACAACTTTGTTTTGAGAAATTAATTTGATTTCTATTTCAACCTCTTTCAGAGGTTTAATTTTAAATCTTTTTATGTCATTCTGTCAGGCAGCTAGTTGATATATATTAGTTGGTAGCTATTCTTACCTCAAGTGGTGAACCTTTTCATGTATATCTCTGACTACTCACTCAGTGTCTTATATTCATTATTTATTTCCTGATATGATATTCATCTTTCACCTCACTGTCTTCTTAAACTGAATGGTACTTAAATGCCTATATTAAACTATCGTCTGGTACTCGAATTATTTTTTGATTCCTTTGCGTTCCTAGTGGAACACATGACTTCAGCTTTGAAGTTTCAGTAGGAGTTTTGTTGTTCTTTTTATGGGATGTAATCGCTAGCCTCATACCCAACCTTCCCTATTTACCGGGAGAAGTTTAGGAGTACGTCGTTCGGGGGATCGGACTCCGGACCGCGTGTGTGGTTGATGAGTATTCTATCACTGAATCACCCACACCTTTGATCATGTAATTCGATTCACACCACTTCATATCATTACGTGGATCTAATCTTTTTGCTGGCAGTATTTATTAACACGAAAAGTCCTTCCGATTAATCTGTACAAGGAGAAAAGGCATTATAAAAAAGTGTTTCTGTGCTACTTTACTTGTGTTGTTATACAGCACGGCACTTTTATTAAATCAGTCCTAATTAGATAAGTGCTGGTACTACTTCCGATTCGAGTTGTGCATTTATAATTGCAGATGTATTAGCAAAGATATCGGAAGGGTTGAGAGTAGATCTTCTATTTGGTTTTCTTAGCTTATTGGCAGGATCCTGCACTTAAAGAAGAGGAAATATCCGGTCAGTACAATCATCGGCCACCTCGCGAGTACTGGACAATTTGTTGTCTCTAAGTCTTCTAAAGTATTAAACGTGTGTAGAGAGGAAATTATCCACTATCCGTTGCAATAAAAGGTTTTAAGACGAACTCACATATCATAAAAGTTGTATGAGATCTTTGTCACTGCATTCTGATATCAACTGCACTTATCACAACCATTCATTTTGGTAATTTCAGCTCACTGAGATGGTTTCATAAACACGATTTCTTAAGCTGTTACGTAAACTCTCCCCTCTCTCCTGCTGTGAGTTCCTTGAACTTTCTATTTCGTAATGCATATTAACTGACGACTTGAGCTAAAAAGTGTGTAGTCACTTTTTATAAACACTCCAGGTTTTGGATTCCTTAATTTACAACATATTCAGTACTATTGTTTTAACATTGAAAGTATGTTGTTTCCACTCTAGTATAGCTATCGTGATTTATGACAGTTTTGCTTAATGAGATACTGTGAAATAAGATGATATCATCTTACAGTGCAATTTTGGCTCATACTGCCTTATCACTTGTAAGGATTTTCAATTTTCATTAATTCTTATGGTTTAATCTGTAATTAATGCACAAATCTACTCTACCGATTGAGTGAGTAAATTGTATCAAAATTTCCAATGATTTTAGTTAAAAATCTTATTTAATCTCACCTTTTAAAATACGTTTTTTGATGGTAGATAAGTGAAATGGAAGTCTAGACATTTATTAGTTCCATTACTGAACAAAGAATATTCTTTTCAATAACCTCTTCTTCTTCTTCAGGTTCTACAGTTATATATCCGTAATAATGAAAGAATGATTTTCAAGTGTTGGTTTGTAGGGATTTGATTGGTTACAGGATTTCATCATTAGCTGACATCACTTAGAGAACCATTGGAAAACCTGGGAGTACTGGACAGCTGTTTCGTCCTAGTTTGGGGCTCTTCATCAGTACGCACCCACCGGGATTGATTGTTATTGACAACATTAGTGGTTTTTGAAGAGTAATATAGAATCACTTAAATCAGAAACGGGTCAGAAACTTGGCCAACGCGTCACGTAAAGGATTTCCAACAAGTCACAGGCTTTTATTGACAGCTGCCTTCTCTGGCTCCATAGTGAAGATAAGACGGCCGGTCAGAAAGAATTA